ATGCACAATTTCAGGAGATTCCTGGATCCTCTGGAAACTCTCTGTAGATCCTGGAAGAAGGGCCTCCAGTATGAGGCATCAGGAGTTATCTTGGGGCCTTCAGCTGGAGTGACTTGGTCAGATTTGCATTCTATAAAGAAGCGTCTGGCCTTTGTAAGGAGTGGGTATTGGAGAGTGAAGATAGAGGGTAAAGACCTGTCAGGAGGTTGTAGCAACAGGTCAGGGAAGGAAAAGTGTGGCCCAGAGGGAAAGTGGCAGCCACAATGGAGTGTCTCTGAACCTCAGTCTCCTCATCTATAAAATGGGAGGGTTGTGAGGATTACATGAAGTAATGCATAGAAAGTGCTGCCACATAGTAAGCACCTAATGATTGTCAGCAGTTATTAATGTGACTGACTTAGCAATTTGTGCAGTTAGTATCTTACCCAGGGTTACCTGAATCCAAAGACCTTGCTTAACCATGGTGAGATAATGAGGTTAGATTGCTCAGGGAGTCATTGCCTCCTATTGTCCTTGTGTCCTGGATTCCTATCTTCTAACTAAACAGCCCCAGGGAAGAGGGCAGAGGGGAAGGATCAGCTGGTGAAGTCCTGACAGGATTCTTCTTTCCAGATCACTGAGATCCAGAGACTGGGCCTGGCCGCAGCCATCGAGTTCAACACCACATTCCTGAGGAAGTCCCTGCAGGCTGCCCTGAGACATCTGGCCCTCTGACCATCCACCAAGGGACCACCCTCCTGGAGCTCCCTCACCAGCTTCCTAAAGGACACTTCGGCCCTGGGCACCTCATCCTGACTCCTCATGTGGGGTAAAGGTTGAGCTTGGCCTTCCTAGGGATCACCTGCCTCTGGGCAGCAGGCTGCAGAGAGGTCATCTGGGCCTCCCAGCCAGCAGGGAGGGTCCCAGTCTTCGGGGACTGGATGAACTATATTACTAAGGGCTGCTGACTGTGAGCTCCCTCCTTGTCACTTCTCCCTCAGGCTGTGGGGACAGAAACTTTAAGGTAGGCCTCAGTAGGGTCCAACCAGACGCAGAGCGGACGAATGATACTCCAGGAGCTCTGGGGGACCTGTGTGCTCAGCACAAATCTCTTATTCTCAGGTGTATGTTAACGATCTTCTGTGTTCTTGTTTCTGACTTGAATAATAATTTATCAACAGTATTTTATTAAAAACAGGAGGCTCAATTATGTCTTATTAGAAGCAGGACCTGCCTTCGTCTTAACTGAGTATTTGTTGAAAACACACCACCACCACCACCTCTGTCCCGCCACCCCGTCAGTGGCTAGCGGCGTCTTTTTCCCTATGAAGTGTTCTGTTAAGGGAAGGTGGTAGAAGTCCCAAGTTCATTCACGTTCTGTGTGCCAGATAATGTGACACCACGCACCCCAACCCTACCAGAGCTGTCTGTTGAGCAGGGGACTCCTGAGCACTGTGGGGAGGGGGACTGAAGGTGGGAGTGATCAGCCTGGAGCTGGAGAAGGCTTTTGGGGCAGGTGGTATTTGAGGCGGGATCTGAGGGGCTCCTGGGGTTACTGTGGACAGAGCAGAGGATGGGGCCTGTTGGACAGGCAGAAGGGGTATGCAATACTGTAGGCGTGTGTTTTACATCTTCATATTTATTCCCAAAGCACTTAGCTAGGTGCCTTATTCATAGTAAACACTTAACCTGTAGATGTTACTGAGTCAACTATCAGGTGAAAGTTCATTACAGAACCTTCCCCGCTCTTCCCCACTGCAGACCCTGAGGGGCCGGAACAGCTCTTGACGTTTCCCTTCTCACAACCTCCTCGGGGGCCATGAGCCCGCGCTAGAACAAGGTGAGGCAGAGAGGTCAGGAGTAAAGCCAGCTTTTGAGAACAAGCAGGTGTGGAAGGCAGGAGGAAGCGGGGGGGCAGGTTTGAGCGACAAACGTGCAGGAACTGCAATACTTCTGGCGGCCGTCACAGTGCGGTGCCCAGTAGTGTAACTCCTGCAGCTTGAGCCCTGGACCCGGTCTCTTCCCTAAGAGCCTGGTAGCAGCCGGCGCGAAAGTGGGTATACTAAGTTGCCACGGGGCCCCCGTCACCGCCGCATCTCGGGTCGCCGCGCGCGGGTCTAAAGATGCAACGCGCGCCGGTGGCGCCCTCTCGCGGCCGCGGGCGGCGCCCCCCAACCCCGGGACTGAGTTGCCTGACCGTGCTCAAGAAGGAAGCCACCGGAAGTAGGTATCTCTCGCGAGAATAAGGCCCTATTTGAACGCATGCGCGAGCAGAGTTTGTCTTTTTCCCTGTTTTCGCAGAGCGAGGCATCATGAGGTGAGTGGTGCTTTCGGGTGGTATCGCATTCATCCGCGTCAACAGGTGCTCCTGTTGGGAGGAAGACACTGCGGGTGGGGTCAGGGGTCCTTGCCCCTGCTTCTCTGCGGGGCTTTTCTTTCCAGGCTTTAGCCTGCAGGCGGCCGTCAGTAGGGTTCCTCTTTCCCGGGGCTTGCATCTGGTTCTCGGGCCTAAATCGCCCCACGCGGTGTCCGGAATCCCCGGGGAGTACGTCATAGTCAGCTGCGCCGCTCGAAGCCTGCGGCTTTGGACACGCAGAGGGCTTGACCCGCTGCTCCCGGGTCCTGAGCGCTCGTTTTGCTTCTCTCTTGCAGCAGCAAGGTCTCCCGCGACACCCTGTACGAGGCGGTGCGGGAAGTCCTGCACGGGAACCAGCGCAAGCGCCGGAAGTAAGTACCCGACTCCTCGGGGAGGGCAGGCCAGGGCTGGCTTGAGGAGCCGCGGGCGGCCGGCTAACCTCCTTACTTTTTCTAAGGTTTTTGGAGACGGTGGAACTTCAGATCAGCTTGAAGAACTATGACCCTCAGAAGGACAAACGCTTCTCGGGCACCGTCAGGTTGGCACCGTTCTGACCCCACCCGGCCCTCAGTGTCCCCGTGCCTGTCTCTTCCTTTTAGGCTCCGTTTGAGCCCGAGGCGGCCAAGCACGTGCGGCACTGAAGTGCCCGGGTAGTTCAGACCCCCTGCTCCGGGCAGGCGTGGCTGGACGGACCCCCCACCCTGGGTCTTAAAACAAGAGGGGAGGCGTGGGGAGGCCTTGGCCGAGCCCGCCGGCTAGTTTGAGAAGCCAGACTAGCTGTTGGTGAATGTGGACGCTCTGGGTAAGGCTCAGTGCTGCAGCGGATCCAGACCCCTTCACCTGCCCTTGACCCAGGGCTGGGCATGACCTTTTGTTCCCCAAAACGCAGGCTGAAGTCTACTCCCCGCCCCAAGTTCTCCGTATGTGTTCTGGGGGACCAGCAGCATTGTGATGAGGCCAAGGCTGTGGATATCCCCCACATGGACATCGAGGCTCTGAAGAAGCTTAACAAGAATAAGAAACTAGTTAAGAAGCTGGGTGAGTTTGCTTGGTGTGGTTTTGTATGGAGGGGTAGGGTAGGGCCAGTTTCTCGTGAGAGTGGTAGAATACTGGTACTTCCTGCTATTTGAATTTTAAAGTGAGGAAAAAGGTAGTCATGACAAAGGATCTGCTGTGGTTGGTTACTTGTGTTTTTTAGCCATGTGAAAATTCCATTTTGCTTTGAGGATTTAATTTGATAGGGGAAGGAAGCCAGGCAGTGAGTGGTTCTTTTCTAGAGCAAGCGAGATAAATCAAGTTGACAGGTCAGGTGCTGGTATGTTCTGCATTGGATTTCTACCTACAGCTCCAGTTCTTTCATTTTAATCTTTATCTTAAGTGATCTGAGCATTTTACAGGTAAGAAACAGATTTCCACAGTTGTCGTGTAGCTAGAAAGTAGGAAGGGCAGGGTTTGAAGCCAGTTTTAACTAATGAGTGAACATTCCCATTGCAATGTGGATTATGAGTCAGCCTGGGCTGCTGCTGTGGGTCTCCTGTGAATTTTGGGCCACTAGAAGTCCAGAGGATGAAGATAAATTGGAATGGGGAGAGGATTTAAAAGAGTTGGTGCTTAGAGAGGTGGGTAGAGTGCTGGTTAGAGGCCATTAGATAAGTATCTAATAGCTTCTTCTCTTTACCAGCCAAGAAGTATGATGCCTTTTTGGCTTCAGAGTCTCTGATCAAGCAGATCCCAAGAATCCTGGGCCCAGGTCTGAATAAGGCTGGCAAGTTCCCTTCCTTGCTGACCCACAATGAGAATATGGTGGCCAAAGTTGATGAAGTGAAGTCCACGATCAAGTTCCAAATGAAGAAGGTGAGGAGGTTGTATAGGTTAAGCAGTAGTGGTGATAGTGGC